GGAGATTGTCCATCCAGAAGATCCATCCAAACAATGTATGCATAAATCTACATGTAAATAAAATTGTATTGCCTGTTGGTAATAATTGTCTTTTATTGAGCTCTGGGAGTTATTTGCATGCATAAGACGTGATAATCAATTTTGAAATTTTTGTCTGTCTACCTGCCTAGGTTAACTTCCAAAATGGCTGAACGGATTGTAATGAAACTTTATAAACAGAGCAATGCCAGGAGTGATCAAGGCTTTATTTTATCAGGAAAACATGGAGAACTATTCTTGTAAAAAGAAAACCTAAAAAAATGGTTTAATATGATACTTTAAAACCTTTATGAGACTTAAAACGTTTTGAAGAAAACTTTTTTAGTTTATAATTTTACATAAAAAGGTCTTTACATGTTATCTTCAGTTTTGGGGCAAAAGATAACATCACTTTATCACTTACAGTTTTCTTGTAAAATTGAGTTAAAGTAAAAGAAAAATCTTAAACTAAAGACAACATTGTAAGGACCTTTTATTTAAAATTACAAACCAAAACAGTTTAATCAAACCTTTTTAAATCTTAAAGTTTTTAAAATAATCATCAAAAGCCATTTTTTTGCAAGGAGGGTCACAGATGATCAAGATCAACAAAGTATGTTTTCTGTAACATACTGTCAAGTGCCAACATTCGTTTACCGAAAACAACAAGAATTAAGGTTGTGCTTACCCATATAGAGTCCACATGTGAGACTTGCAAGTCTTTTGTTCGTTGTGAGAACGATTATGAGATACGATTTATTTCATGAGTGGTTCGGAAATATCAGTCACAGCATGTGTCTTTAAGTTTTTTTTTCGGGATTCCACTGACCATAATAGTCCACTCAAACTTTATAGATTGTAGTTTTTCAATTATTTCTTTAATCTGCTGTATTAATCAGGTACTTCTCCTATTGCAGTCAGGGTAGCCAATGTATTCTTTACAACAGTTGAGAATTCTATGAGACTGAGACCCCATCATGCCTAATGTGATGCTTGGCAATTATTAGAAGCATCGTCTCTATAAGTACCTATAATTATCTTATTTCGATTTGTCACACTGTCCAACATGGAAGACACGGCGTTAAGAGTTCTTACTTTAAAGCACTTAGGTAGTCGAGTAATGTTCTCACCGTCACTATATTGAAATAATCTTGATGTAGCTATTAACTGTTTAAAGAACATGAATCACTCTTTGGATTAACCAGAAGGTGCTGGTTGTTACTTTATCTTTTTTTTAGGATAGGGTGACAAACAAGCACACAGCCCACCTGATGGTAAGTGGTTGCTGTGACCCATAGACATCTACATCTATCCTCAATAAAGAATCAAACTGCAGATGCGTTGTCACCCGTGAGGACTAAGATGGAATGCCTCTTTTCCAGTAAAAAGGGTCTCCAGTTCTCTACACTCACCATACGAAACACAACAGCGTTATGCTGCTATTTTACGCTGGTATTCTGTGAGAGCGTGGTCCTTCCCCAGCCGATCCATTCGTGCTACAAATATATTTCTAATGTAGCTGCAGCATGGCTCTACCACATATAAATCTGTCAAGCCATCTGCCATAGATATAGAGGTCAGCATGACTAGAAACTTGTTTACTTTCCAGAGATGGCATGCTGTCTGCATATTGCAGTCGCAATTTTTCCATTACGAGATGTTTTTAGTGATGCAACTTTTTGCTCTGTAACTGCTCGCTCCGCTATGCGGATAATTCGGCAGTTTTTTTTCTCTACTTTTGCTGACTTAATTTGCGGCTTTAATTTGTAATTTCAAGAGATGTTAACGTCTTACCGTCGCTGTCGTACTTCGAGCAGAAACAATTGGAGAAGGCTCACCCATGTCACGATCGACATAGCTCAGGTCAATTTAATACGTGTTAATATTGGTGCCTATGTCAAACTTCGCAACAAAGGACAACATTCAACGGTCTGGTAACAGCCTTTGAAGGACATTGTTGATTATTACCCTTATTAACCACTTTACTATTTGTTCAATAGTATTTACTATACCAGTGAATAATGTTTCCTTTATACATTTTTATTTCACAACTGGTGACTCGCACCTGCTTTTATCTATTAATGTCATTAATTTGAACATTTAGATTTTTAGGATAAGTCAGCAGCGATCATTTTAGCAAGTTTTTCGTTTTCACAATAAACATCTGTTTTTCGAACACACACACATACAGATAGACAGACAAAAATTTTAAAATGATTATTCATATTTTACTTGTATGCAAATAACCTTCAGTTACTTCGATATTATAGACAGACACTTTAATTTTATTTATATGTGTATAGATAATTATTCTCGTGATAATGATATATTATAAAATAAATTTTTACATTCATACGTGGTAAGAGCAACGCTACGGCTATATTATGGTTGTAGCATGAATGGGTCGGTTCGACCGGGGACCGCTCACACAGAACAATAGCGTAACATAGCAGCTAATTTCTGCTGTGTTTCGAGTGGCGAGTGTAGAGAACCGAAGACCCATTTCACTGGACACAAGACATTCCATCTTAGTCCTCAGGAATGTCAACGCATCTTAATAAAGTATATATGTAGATGGCTATAGTCCACAGCATTCACTTACCATTTGGTGGACTACTTGTTTGAGACCCGTATTCTATAAAAATATACAGACAGAAAAATATGATCCCCGCGGAGTTTCTTTCGTCGTTTCTTCTTCGGTAAATTTAGTATTATAAATAGGCGTAAAAAATGATGTAGAACAACAAAGGCCACCGGCGAACCGGAGGAGAGTGAAAGGCGACACCCCTTGTCAAAGTATAAGTCCACGCGGTCCTATGCGTACAATAAGTTGCACTGCTCGCTAAACTATATCTTAGATGCGTGACTTATGCTCGGTTTCTGAGGTAATTTTATCGGCGGTTTATCTATTCGTTAGCGCTATTGGTTCGATAACTTAAGAAAGTACGTTTCGGAACATATCGTAATGTAAAATAAACTCCTTTTAAAGTTAGGTTAACTAAACTGACCAATGTGTGCCGTTTATCGGTTAACTTTATTTGACGTTTTATTTCAAGCAAACTCCATCAACTTTTACTTTATAACGTGATATTTTTAAAATAAATGGCCAGTCAATGCTTAATATGAAAATATACAGGGGATAAAATATATAAAGTATATAAGCATATGTAAATGTAATGAATACAAGGGCTGCACTAAAAGTATCGGGAATGGAATATTTCCACTGTTCCTGTCATATAAAATTTTTTTAAATTGAAAAGTCCTTGGTTTTAGAACTCGAATACCATTTATTTATTTAAAAAAAGATTCTCGGTCTTGTCACAAGGTTTTGTCAAACTTGTTTAGTCGTTGAGAAAATGGAATTGACTCGAGAAAATTCAAGAGCGATGCTTTATTATAACTTTCGAAGTGGTTTAACACAAAAACAGTGTGTTGACCGGATAATTTCTGCATTTGGTGATGAAGCCCCATCCAAAACCACAATTTATCGCTGGTTTGCTGAATTTCAACGTGGACGTGTCAAGCTCAATGACGATCCCCGTCAAGGTCGTCCAAAAACTGCAGTCACCCAAGAAAACGTTGATGCTGTGCGTAAGCTGATTGAGGAAGATCGACATGTGACATACCGCGAAATTCAGGAAACTTTAGATATTGGCATGAGTCAAATACAAATAATCTTGCATGAACAATTAGGTGTACAAAAGTTGTTTTCCCGATGGATACCGCATTCGCTCTGTGAAGAGCAAAAAGCGGCTCGCGTTACTTGGTGCGTCAGAACTCTCGAAAGATTCCACGCAGGATCCTCAAATGCTGTATACAACATCGTATCAGGTGACGAATCCTGGATATACGCGTACGAACCCGAAACAAAAAACCAGTCACGAGTTTGGGTGTTCGAAAATGAGTTTATACTTTCCCTAAAATAAAGAATAAATTGCGTGGACAGATATTTTCATCACCTGAAGAAGCTGTGGACGCCTACAAAACGGCCATTTTGGAGACCCCAACTTCCGAATGGAATGGTTGCTTCAATGATTGGTTCCATCGTATGGAAAAATGTGTCAAATGTCGCGAAGAATACTTCGAAAAGCAATAAATACATGTTTAAATAGTAATGTTGTGTCACTTCCTTGATTCCCGAAATTTTCAGTGCCGCCCTCGTACGAGTAGCTCATCACAGTCTGATTTGGAAGAATGGAGTTTACTTTTGTTAAGCTATTATTTTTAATTTAATTATTATTATAAATTCTAAAATACATACTTATAAAACGTAATAAATAACTAACTTTAATGCTAATTTATAAAAGAAAGGATATTTGCTAGAAAATAATATCATAAAGATAAAGCATAAACAATGGCTAGATCTTCTAAACTTAAAATCTCAAAGATAAGAAAAATATAGCACATGCGAAATTGTGAAACAAAAAATGAGGGACCTTTTTTTTTTGACAATGATTTCGTCCATACAGTCGCTGATAAATATGGAATTATCATAATTTATTACTAAAACAATATAGGTCGCGCGCCCTCGTGCCGCGTGCGTGCGAACGTGGGTGAGTGCGTGCGTGCGTGCTTGCGTGCGTGCTTGCGTGCGTGCGTGCGTGCGTGCGTGCGTGCGTGCGTGCTTGCGTCCGTACGTCCGTCCGTCCGTCGTCGCGCGCGCGCGCGTGTTTGTGTGTGTGTGTGTGTGTGTGCTTGCGTGCGTGCGTGAACCGGAACAAACAGAAAGACGGACAAACATTTTTAAAATTGTTTTTTTTTTGTTATTAGTACCGTATATACATTCATATGCATTTAATAAAAAGTTGTTATTTTAACATTACAAACAGACACTTCAATTTTATTTATTTGTAAAGATGTGTAGTAACTTTAATTCCGACAAAGCTTTCTGTATATTATTGTGTACAATGAACTGTGTTAGGAGTTTATAAGGCTTCTGTGTTGCTTACAACTGCTTTATTTTTGTTACAGCTGCGAATATAATGGAACGCTTTCCTCTGAAATCATCCACAAGCAAAATGGCTACAACATACCAGTCTGTCTACAAAAAGGTATGTGTCTAAAAGTAATTGTGTATGAATTATAAACTTAAGCTAATAAAAGTCAATATTTTCTTTTATTTTTAATCTGAAAATCAATCATAACATAATATTCATTTAGTTATACATAATGTTTGCGAGTGAAGTGATTAAATGTGAATTTGTTCTCATTAATAATAGAATTTATAGTTAAATGTTTTTTTTTATTTCATAAATTTATTTTTTGCTATATAATTACTCTAGAAAAAAGGGTATAATGTCTTTATTATATTTGTGCCATGCTAATTCAATTATTTAATGCAATTTAAGATATAAAATATTATTATGTTTCTTTTAGGTATTTATTAGGAGCTCTCCTTTACTAACGTGAGGTATTATTTTAGGCCATTTTGATACCTTTCTCGCTTCCCCTGGGTGATTCGTCGTGAGGCTACCCATTCTTCCGCACTCCCATTGTGTGTGGGAATGTGAAGTGGGAGTGCATTCATCGCTTGTATTTTTTATGGTTGAAAGGATAATATTTTAATAAAGAAAACATAAAATTAGATTCTGAATAACCATAAATATTAATTAAATTGATAATTAGTTGCTACCTAGTGGGGAAATATTTTACGTCACACATTAAATTCCATTTTAACGTCATTTTTACTGACCCCCACCACCCCTGCTCGAATGTCATGTGATTAATGAAAAGAGATATTTTTTTGATTAATTGGGATACATATTTACATTTATAGAAACGTTAATCTCTAGATTTTGAATTTTGTTTATGAAAATGGTTTGTGTTTAAAAGTGTATGAAAGACGCAATAGGGTAATTTCATCGCGCATATCATCTTCACAATAGCTAGGTGTGTAGAGTAATTCCTGGTACAATAATTGGGTTGGATTTACAATCGTGTGGAGTTTGGGGCAGTAAGGTATTGTATTTGGTGGAGGTTTGGTCCCCGATTATAACAATACCACTCGCATAAAAAGGTTTTTCGGAAAAAAAACCTATAACGTATAAATGGGTAAAACGAATGCAATATTACTGTGAAAGCTGAATAGCATATATAATTTTGTATAAGTGCGACATGGACGTAAGACCATGTCAAAGATAGGGTCACATTATCATACTCCTATGGTATTTTTATTCTTCTGTGGTCTATACTCTCTTAATGTGTGTCTTTTTTTGTTTGTAATGTTTACAAACAACAAAAGAAATTATTATTATATACTTTACACTCAGAATTTTTTTCAGTTGAGTTAGCAGCTCAGCTCCCGCCACAGGCTTCGTGTTTATTTTTTTTTTCACCGCCCAGAAATACTTGAGCACCCAAAAATCCTTTCAGTTGATTTAGGGTAGAAATAGATTTAGTCCTCAGCGCAACAACGTGATTTAAGTATACGATAACAAAAAATATCTTAAGTAAATAACTTTAATAACCTCCACTCACTGCAACTTTTTACCCGACTGCCCCAGAAAGAGAGTAAATGTTTTTGAGATTATGTAAAATAAATACAATCCCTTATTTTTAAGACCTCTGAATAGCAAAGTAGGGTTCTTAAATGACAAATCTTGAAACTGTTTTAAAATCCGCATAGAATATAATTTTCTTTACATACCGAAATGCAGCCACTAACACTGGTATTGCTACTTTGAAAATTAAAACAGTTTGAAAAAAAATGTACGTGGACGTCCGGATGTTGATTTTGTATGTGGTCACGTGGTCACGATAACTCCCGATAAAATTGACATATCGAGACCAGTTTTTTTAAGTGTCAGGATTACATCAACTGGTTCCCTATTTCATATCAATAGCCTGGTACGCGTAGTTTGTTGATGATTTTCAACTTTTATAAGTTTTATTGCTATTAAAATTTAGCGGCGCTTTCATATTTTTTTTAGTCCTTGATAGACAAAGGACAAATGTACCATACGGCCTTTATCGCTTTCATACTTTGTGTAATCGATTTATTTTGGTAATCATTTTTTATCTGTAGGTGACAGTACCTGTTAAAATGATAGAGCGCTAAATTTAAAACACGTTAATAATATATTTTAAAAGTCAGGAATACTCTTTATTTTTTCATCAAAATTAAATAAATACGCTCATGAGGCGTGCACTTTTGGATTTTTCAAACTATTTTAACTTATGGGTGTAGTTAAATTCGTTGTATATGTAACTGTGCAAGTGACATAGGGTATATGGTTTTCTCTTTTCAGTAAACTTTTTACACAGTCGGAGTTTTTTTAATTACTGTTTTAACAATAATTGGGTTTGTTAAACCCATTTTATACTTACCTTAAAAACTTTCTTCTCTTCTAAATCCGTCTTAACCCGTCCTACTAAAGAAATCTACTTCAGCGGTCCGAGAGTGCCGCCAAAAAACTAAACACTTAGATCAGGTATTTTAATCTTTTTTCTTAAACAATATAGGTGTTATTTATAAATAATGGATATTTAATTCGAAAGTGTACCTGTCAAGCGAGTAACGACATGACCGATATATTTTTAACTTTTGCTCAAACTGCAAGTTATTTGATTGGTTGTCTGGATACAAGAGAAGAACACATAATAAATAGCTGTGTGTTGCTGTTCTGCGCAAGTCCTAAAACACGGGTTTATACGAACAAAATTAACGTTATCATTTCGGGCACTATGTCGCTCCTCGTAAGCGTACAACTGAATTTTGCCCGGTTAAAGGTGTGGACTTACCATTTAGGGATGGATAATATGTCGATAGTTGAGTTTTGTCGCTATTTTATTGAAGTATTTATAAAGTTTGGGTAAATTACTTTTGAGCTTTAGTACATAAGCATTTTATTCTTGTTTTAAATAAATTTCAATATTTTTTCAATTTGACACGCCGGTCACCGCGTCTCTGCATCTGCAGCTGCACTATAATTATTTTACATAACTCACACTGATATACATGGTGAGTGTTTATACACACATCATGTCTTTATAATCATATAATCAGTGTGAGCATAAAAGTGAGAGAAAACATTTGAGCAATAATTTTTGAAAGCTTCTCGTTCCACCGCTGCCGTTGTGCTAAGTTTTTATTAAAATGTGAAAGTAAATCAAGTGAAAAGTTAATAATAGAAACATTTTTCGTCTAACGTATAATATGTTAGCAGCTAAAATTTTACATCGACGTCCCTCATGCGGTACAGCATTACTATTTAGGATGTCTACACCAGGACCTAAAGCCCAGATGTATTGATTTTTTACTTCGTGCAAATTTTGTCCGATACATCGCATCTATGTCTGTTTCATTCAAGCATTGGACTTCGGTGGAGGCCCGTGTTTGTTTGGTTGTTTGTTCGCGACCCGTCTCGTAGTGATAATCATCGAAGTGTTTATGCGTTCCGCGGAATAATTGTAGATGACTGAAAAATTCGACTGCCGTCGTTCACGTGACTGTTGGTGATGCAATATGAGTCGCCGATTCTCCATGTGAGTAAATAGTATTGGAGGTTATATTTATAATTCTAGTCTCATCGCAATATTATTGGAATAACACAATAATTTGTCGTTTTTTTTGAATGGTTTCTTGATAGTAGAAATTCATGTAAATTAAAATTTTAGTTTATTTTTCGATTATTTATGTTTACGTTAGGTTCAACTTGGTTGCATTTGCATATACTATTATAATTATAATATAACCGTGGTATGTACACCAACGACGCGATGATCATCCAGTGCGCGGAGTGGGCGGCTTGTTTCAAAATTTTGATATGGCGGCCTTAGTTTCAAATCACGTAAACTGTATTTTTTTCCAATATCTTGGTGTGATCTTTATATCTTAAGTAACCCTTCTATGGCGGGAAGTATAAAAAGCTTGTAGCAGAACTTATATTTTTGTTTTATGCCGCCTCTGCCCGGCTCATTTCTTACCTTACTTTATCCTCAACTTTTTCTAGCATAAAATATTATTGTGGCATACTCTCGATTCTATCAGATAAGGGTTACATTGCGCAGACAGGTTGGCTTAGCTGAATCAGCGCTAGTTCCAACTTTTGTTACTTTGGTCTGTAACTTAAAAACAAGAGTGAGTAGACTCTGTAGTGAAAATCAATAAGTTATTATAGAAGTAAACTGTTATTGGTGATGAACTGTGAATCGATTTGATCCTGAAAGCAGGCAAGAATCCATAAGATGATGTAAAAATTTTGGACCGATCGATCCGACAAAATATAAGCTACTTTGTTTGGACTTTGCTGGTAGAAAGTTTCTTGATATGATTTTTACACTACTAGGTGACACACCATTAATATTTTCCTATACCACTGTATAGTAAAATATTAATGGTATTTGTTTTTATACTACTAAGTGACACCATTATTGTTTTTATAAAAAATAGTGACAAGCGAGGACATAGTCTATTCCAGCAGTTAATAGCAATTAAAAATGAATATATATATATGCGGACTTCGAATACATAGGCTGCACTAAAAGTATCGGGAATGGAATATTTCCACCGTTCCTGTCATATTAAAATCTTTTTAATTGAAAAGAGCTTGCTTTTAAAAATCGAATACCATTTATTTATTTAAAAAAAATTCTCGGTCTTGTCACAAGGTTTTTTTTAAACTTGTTTAGTCGTTGAGAAAATGGAATTGACTCGAGAAAATTCAAGAGCGATGATTTTTATGACTTTCGAAGTGGTTTAACACAAAAACAGTGTGTTGACCGGATGATTTCTGCATTTGGTGATGAAGCCCCTTCCAAAACCACAATTTATCGCTGGTTTGCTGAATTTCAACGTGGACGTGTCAAGCTCAGTGATGATCCCCGTCAAGGTCGTACAAAAACTGCAGTCACCCAAGAAAACTGATGCTGTGCGTAAGCTGATTGAGGAAGATCGACATGTGACATACCGCGAAATTCAGGCAACTTTAGACATTGGCATAAGTCAAATACAAATCTTGCATGAACAATTAGGTGTAAAAAAGTTGTTTTCCCGATGGATACCGCATTCGCTCTGTGAAGAGCAAAAAACGCCTCGCGTTACTTGGTGCGTCAGAACTCTCGAAAGATTCCACGCAGGATCCTCAGATGCTGTATACAACATCGTATCAGGTGACGAATCCTGTATATACGCGTACGAACCCGAAACAAAAAACCAGTCACGAGTTTGGGTGTTCGAAAATGAGTTAAAGCCAACAAAAATTATTCGTTCACGGAGTGTTGCAAAAAAAATGGTGGCCCCGTTTGTCTCCAAAACCGGCCATGCTACGACTATTCCTCTTGAGGGACAAAGAACGGTTAATGCAGAATGGTATGCTAGCATTTATTTGCCACATTTCGTTTCTGAACTCCGTAAAGAGAACTGCAACCGCCGCATCATCCTCCATCACGACAATGCGAGTTCTCACACCGCACACAGAACAAAAGAGTTTTTAGAGCAAGAAAACATAGAATTATTAGACCATTCGCCGTACAGCCCCGACCTAAGCCCTAATGATTTCTATACTTTCCCTAAAATAAAGAATAAATTGCGTGGACAGATATTTTCATCACCTGAAGAAGCTGTGGACGCCTACAAAACGGCCATTTTGGAGACCCCAACTTCCGAATGGAATGGTTGCTTCAATGATTGGTTCCATCGTATGGAAAAATGTGTCAAATTTCGCGGAGAAGACTTCGAAAAGCAATAAATACATTTTTAAATAGTAATGTTGTGTCACTTCCTTGATTCCCGAAATTTTCGGTGCCGCCCTCGTATGTACGTGGTAAAAGGTATAATGAGGCAAGATCAGTATAAAGAAGTCTTACAAAATCTATTGATTCCGCAGCTCAGAAAACGGTTTCCGAATGGGGAGCCATTCAGTTTTATGCAAGATTGAGCTCCCTGTCACACAGCACGATCTGTTAAAGCTTTTTTGACAGAGCAAAATATCCCTCTGTTGGATTGGCCGGGTAATAGTCCCGATATGAATCCTATTCAAAACGTATGGGGGCTGATGAAGGGAGAAGTGGCTAACGATGTCATTACAAACAAAACTCAAGTCTTAGAAAAGATTATTCATGTGTGGAATCATCATCCTCCAATGCAGGAGACAGTACAGTCTAACATTGATAGCATGCCCCACAGAATTGAAGCTCTCATAGCGAGCGGCTAAAGGTGGCTCAACGGTCTGTCCTGGTTCGGGGCTAATATTCCGAATGGCTGAACTGATTGTAATGAAAATTAACCAGCAGATAGAGAGTAATACCAGTGATATAATCTCTTTTTCCCAAAATCCTTATAATTATTCTTGAAAAAAAAACCAAAAAATTTGATAGGATAATTGATTATCTTGCATCCAAATAAACGCAACATTAATATCTCCTACCCTGCCGAAGTTAGGGCGGGTCGCTAGTAATAAATAAGTCTGTCATATTACTCTTCTTATCTCTTCTTATTTTTAAAAAACGTTACCCCCACACTAGGATTTTGTCCTGTGTCATGGAGGCAGTTTACAAACATAAATTGCACGAGGACAAACATCCAGACCCGGAACAATTATTTGTAGGCCATACAAATACTTGTTCCGTGCGGGATTCGACCCCCACATGTAAAAGAAAGGTATTATGAAGATAAACTTAAATTTATTTTTTATTTTTTTAAGTAGGTATACGATATTATAATATAAAATAATGTATGTTCATTTATTTTTTCATTGATTCAATACAGTAGCCATCTAAAGTCAACTGCGGTACATAGCTATCATATCAAAGGAGTCTTGCGATTGCCTCATGGGAAGTACATATTTACCATAGTTGTCACGCAGGTGTGTTGGTAACCGTAGTCTTTTATTATTATTATTGAGCTGTAATCAGATGCTGCTGCCCATCTTCTATTTTATTTTCTTTCTGGCACCTCTTACGACACCCGCAGGATTATACGGGGGTAGTGGATCTTTTAAGCCGCAACTACCAGGCATTAAATTTACGTAAGATTGTTATGAAGTTATTATCTATATAAATAAATAAAATTGAAGTGTCTATTTGTAATGTCAAAATAACAGCTTTTAACTAAATGCTGATTAAATTATATACGGTTCTTATAACAAAAACCCCATTTTTTTATCTGTCTGTCTGTCTATTTGTTCGGGTTAATCACCGAAACGACTTGACCGATTTTGACGGGTCTTTCACTGGCAGATAGCTAATGTTGTAAGGAGTAACTTAGGATTTTACTCTAGAAAAGAAACTAGGGTTCCGCGCAAAAAAATTAAAACCCATAAAATCCAGTCGTAATACATTCCACGCGGGCGAAGTCGTGGGGAACAATTAGTACCTAATATAATAGAATCGGTCACCCCATTTTTTCCCTTGGGTTTTAATGTAGAAAAAATGTTGGTAAGAGGCAACTATAGGATAATCCAAAAAAAGCTTTTGGTCTTTCCGCCAGGTGCCCAGACCGGCGATGGGCATCAGTGTCAAAGTTGCGAGATCTCTTTTACTACATATTATCATCTAAGCGTGACGATAAACCAAATCCATTCGTTAATAGAGCCCATGTCCAGCTGCGTACTTATGTGCCGCTACTGTTGGTACTGGTGATGGTGATGATTTTACACATCATTATCTCATACGACAGATTTTAATTTCTTTGTAATTATAGGGTGCAATTAATACAAATGGACGCGGTGTCGTCACACCGGGCGAAGATGATATGGTAGATATCACTCCCGGGCTGCAGCAGGCGGCCGCCACTTCGCCCACCACTCCCACCAACCACGGCACATTTCAACTATACGAACATAGTGGGAGAAATTCAAACGCCAGCACAAACTGTGAGTATGCATTTAATGATTCCACGTCTCGATTTATTAAAAAAAAAAGTATTTTTCAAATCTTGTAGGTACTTCAATATTTTTTATACCTAGTAAACTTCAGTTTTGAACGTTTAATTTGTAGAACTCGTTGTAAAATAGAATTTTAACCTGTCTGCTGATTTTCAAATTGATTAGTATTGAATTTAACTAGAATATAATGTAGTACCTTCTATAATTAGATAGATATGCTGTTAAATTAAAACCTTTTAACATTTTAATAATAATTATGTCTTTCTAAGACCTAACATTGGATTCATTTTTAATGATGTATGTACATTCTCTTCCTTAAAAAAAATTACAGTTAATATTTATTTGCCTCCAATCGACTCCGATTAAACGCTCTGTTATACTATTGGAGACAGTCGATTCATTGTTAAATGAATGAATCGTTTCACAGCAATACTATTGACTGACCATTTATTTATTTTCTCTTTTCAAGCATACATCGCTCAATACTTCAATACTTCGACCGGTAAGAGCGAAGCATTCAAACGTGTATATAATAATTTCGGATTAAATACAAAAGCAATCATTTAAAAAAAATTGCCAGTAATAAGTAACTTTATTTCGCTTAGAAGTGAATTTATTTTTATTTTTATTAACACATCCGTTTGTTCCATTCATATTATGTATATTTTTACTTTAAGATGAAGACCACTTTTGAGTTAAATTTTCATCAGGACTTTTTCGACAGTTAATTTAATTGTCTATACTGTAATAAATACCATATTTTTACGTATGTAGTTGCATACAAACTTAAATTTTGCATGTGGATCTTAAATTATAGGCTGGTTGAGAACAGTAGTGATCCAAGTAGCATTTTGTAAATTTCGAGATATGGAGCGAGCAAAACGCGTTTTTATGACTATCGTGATGGCATTTAATTCATTATCACCATTGTGTAAGTTTTATGACAGATAATTCAGACCTATTTCAGACCTTTCTAATAAGATATGCAATAATAATATAGTTATTTTGATTTTATTGAACTTGGATCACTTCTGCTTTTATCATAAAAGTGATAGTAGTTGTTGCAAAAATGAAATAAAGAGCTTTTAATTTAAAAATCACCATATTTTACTAACTAACCAATTATTTCTAATCACTTTCATCACCTAAACTAGAAAGCATTTCCTCTTCATTTTCAGCTGCATTGTTTCTCCTGGTAAGATGAGGTAAACTTAAGAAAAATGCATGGTGACAGGGTGGCACATAGTGCAGCATTTTTTTTAAGTCTTGCATCTTTTTGTATGTAAGTGGTTTTGCACATGTTTTTTCAGTTGGGGTGAAAGACTTTAGGGTATTTATAAAAATATCTCTATTACCACCCTTGTCCAAATCTGCAGTCATAATCATCCGAGTAGTAATCATTGAAGTAAATTCTACTATCTCCTTTATGAAATTTTATTTTTCTCATTTTTGAAATTAAGATCCGATTTCCATTGCTGCTTTGGCCTTTTTTGCTCATAATTTTTTCCAATCCTGTAAAATCAACAAACTTCTCAACCATATCTGTCACCATGAATGGTTTTCTGTTTCTACAGTTACAGATCAAGTCCATTCTTGTAGAGTGTATACGTGCTGCTATTTCTTTTGGGCTTTAGAAATATCTGAGAAGTCAGAGTCGTTGGGTAGAAAAGAGTGGCCATTAACAAGATAACAAACCGTTATCTCTAATATGTGTTCAACATGATTTACTTACAATGTAAATCATGAAGTGAAACATGTTCCAGTTACGGTTTTGTCCTGTGTAAGAATCACTGCAGGTGTAGAGATGTGTTACATTTTCAGAAATACAATGCAGGATATTATACTATATACCAGATATTACTTCTTGTGATCCCCTGCATGCAGTAGTTTCATACCACATATTCATGTTGATCTTTTCACCATTAGGTAAGTAGAGATGAGTTCCAAAGTTCAGAGTGTGTAGCTGTCGTAAATAATACACTTCAGCTGTTTGTATTAGGTGTTGGAAGAGTGCGTTGTAAGTCAAATGTTATCAAACATGAGGAGCCATCATGCCACAACACAACAACAACACCTTATCTTTGTATGAATCTAACTATGACTCAGTTTCCTAAAAAATGCGACTTGGACCACTTCTGTTCTCAACTAGTTTTTAGTGTTATCCTTTATAGAGTCAGATTATAGCATGGGCGCATGCCTTAACCGGGAGCATTATTTCGTAATCCACCAATTTTTTTTTCTACTCACTGTGTAATGTCTATGTCAAGCCGATGCAATGTTACATTGGGCCGAACATTTTAGTTGTTTTTCTTTCGATGAATTATATTTCGTTAGTAAAAGTTTTTAAAATCATATTATATACCTTATCTACCATATATTTCAAAATTATGTAAGATAATTTGATCGGAGCAGAACGCCGAAAAGATATTCACAGATATTCTCATTAGATTTTTTTAAATTAAAATTAATAGACCCATAGGCTGTTCATAATTAAATTATCACAAAGTTATATCACCTTAAGACCTCTTCAGACCAACAAAGAAGATGGAACGAGCATTACGTACATTCCAAGTGACCAAGAAACTATGATTAACTTCTTGACACGCTATCGTGTACATCTTTCTTTATGAGCACGTTGAAGCTGTTGACGTTTTTGGTTACAAATGAATTTAGATTCATATGTGTACACGAATGTGTGTTCTTACAATAAGTTAACCGTGGTTTTCTCTTGGTTTTTGCATCATATAAGATATAAGCAGCGCTCCGTTTTCTTTGATCTGAGCTCATTACAGTCAAGTGCACCGCTTGTAACACGATATCGTCAGTCGTATGTAATAAAAAGAGGTGTTTGCCAATATAAAATAAAGTAGCTTTTTCTTTTTTCTCTTTTTATGTAGGGGCGATGTGATGCTAGAGTTATTTTCGTATAAATTTGCAAGTCCCTAGTTAGACTATAAAATCGAAACCGCGAAATTCAAGGGAAAGCTAATATTTCGAGAAACAAAGGATTTTACAGCCACGTTGTGAACTTACAAAGGCGCAATTTCTAATTATATTTTTATAGTTTTAGTCTTAAGTTTTTTTTATTTCTACAATTAAAATATAATATCTATAAATTAATAATTGAAATAATCTGTATCCTTATTTGAGTTACATAAGGAATCAAAAACCATTGATCGAATACATGATCTTTGATATCACTACGTCTTTCAATGTAACATTTCTGAAAATAGAAAAGAAACTAATAACTCTTGCTTTCTGTAAGGAGAATTAAGAGTGCGAAACGCGTAATTTTACCTCGAGTTTACGTCTCTCTTTTAAACTTCCAGAGTTATAAAATATTTTTTACAGTGTAAATTTGTATTTATAGGGAAATAATATTTCGTTCGAGTTACATAGACTAAATGATACGAGATATCGCTTATTAAGGGTTTCAAACGAAGAGAATGACTTTTATTCATCATCTTACTGATCAAAGTTCGAGTCATCTACGTTCCATTTCACTTGATTATAAAGCAATAACCTGGATAACACTGTGATATAGTCTTAGTTTACATACATAACTAAGCCATTTATTTACTGCACTCTGTAATCTTCCACTAGCTACTGAGCATAAAATGCAAAATGAAATAATTTGAAACTTCTCAACAGTCATTGCAGAAATAGCCTTAAAGTGAAAGATTGTTATTGGATAATCGGTCAAGTGCAATACTACATATTGTCAACAATTGTGTTTCGTATATTATGTATGTCTGCTTGCACTTACGCGCAAGCATGAGTCTCTCACACAGGCTTGTCACATACGTAGCTATAATATATATTATTAATATCCTAATATAATATGCTGCGCTATATTATAACATGTTATAAAAAAGTAAATGTTCCGAATTCTAAATATTATTACATCCATCAAGCATATTTTAAGAATTTGATATGAGTATTGCCAGGATAAAATATAATTATCATATTTAAAATATTTTAGACGTTAGGGGTTGGCAGTTATAGCGCTTCATGAATTGATAAAAGCCGATATAATAAAACGCGATGCAACCATGTGCAAAAAGTATCATTACTCAATCAAAGATATCTTAATATAACTTTCTAAATATTTCTTAATTATTCTTTTAAAAATAAATATTATAGCTACGGCTTTGACGGTTCTAACTCTTAATACTATAAATTCGGAGCTTGGATGCAGTGTCAAACAAGCTCAAGATAAAAATTAACAAACATAATTGTCGCAAACATCCGGAGCAAGCGAACCTGTTTTGTCGGCAGATACTATTAAGTACAATAAATCTCAACTACCTTACTATGTTAATTTCGGAAACATATCGGGGTTTGGAAAACACTAAGGAACTTACTCTAAACTATGCACAGTAAATTCCAACCCACTTTACGAACACAACACACAACAAGTTTTTGTAAGTTTCCTTGTCGAAATAACTTGTTAGCATCACGAGCGCTGCGTTCAGCAGGCACGCGACGCCTACAATTTTAGTATTTGGTCTGCGCTTCCCAAACGCTAGAGGAACGCGTACTCCTAATAAACGCTGGAGTGATCGTGGCCTTAATTAGAACAAATGAAGTGCCAAATAAATAAAGTATTATAAATGTACCATTTTCCATATTTTTATATTTTAATAAATAATTACAATAATAATATACTTTATAAGCGATTTCCAAATTAATAGAGTGAAATGCAATTTTGCAAGTATTTATAACTCTATAACATAGTTTGTTATCGGTACTTAAGAGATTAGATACGAATACGATATGACAGTCGTCAGTTTTATTTCAGAAATCGGTGAAATAGTGGTGTACAAATTGAAATATGTGTTTCTCTCTTCACCTTGGGGATACGGATCCACTTATTGGTGATGTAGGTAAAATTTAACCGTATTTCATATTGTCGAACTGGCTACCGCAGGCTAATTTTTAATAGACTTTAATGTAATGATTTTAGCAGTTTTTACACAAATAGATAAATTAATTCTGGTGATTTCCGTTAATCTGATATCTCGATATGGTTTTAATTAAAAAGATGTGCTGCATAATTTAATAACGGCCCGATTCAGTCAGGGAAATAACGTCATTGTTAATAATTGTTTAATCCATACCAATGCCATTTATTTAAAATACCTGTTAATTATAAATCAAAATACATTTATGGCTCATTGACACAGATGTAAGAAATTATAAACCGTAATCGTCGTTTTTAAAAATTTGTATGTTATAAAATCGGACTACGCTGTATAGCGTTAATGGGAGATTTCAACGCAAAACTGGGCACAAGAAAAGACGCCGAGCTGAAGGTAGGGAAATTTTAAATAGGGCTACGAATCCTAATTGGTCAACAACTGGCTGGTTTCATGGGAAAGGAGGAGCTCTTTAATGATGAACTCTTTCCTCCAGAAGCATTCCTACAAAAGTGGATTTGGTCTAGTCCCGACAGTTCGACAAAAAGTGAGATTGACTTCATTGTGACGATCAGACGGCAACTGTTTAGTGTAGTCTCAGAGATCGCGAGAATGAAAACTAGTAGCGATCATCGAATGGTGAGTAGCACACTGAACCTCAGTGTTAAGTTGGAGAGGTCACGTTGAATGAAGTCAACACTCTCGACACCCCTCATGCTCTAATCCAAAACCCCGAAAACTTATAGCTAGTATTACTAAATCGTTTTTAGTACTTAAAAGATTGCAATACTGTGGATTATATAAATGGCAAGCTCGTGGAAACCATGCAGTCGGAACTAAATACTGCAACACCAGTCGCACAAGATCCCAAAAATTCTGATCACATTAATATGTTAAGGCCGTTAGACGGAAAATGAAGCTGAGTTTTCAACAGATATGATAGCATACAGGCAACTGCACAAACAGGCAACTGAACTATGCGATTCCGTCGAAATTTGAGCGGTGCTACAGTGCCTTGAGGGTGCAAAGTCGACTAACGGTATATTGAGGTGCTAAAACGTTTGTACCGTGGGCCATCGAGTAACGGCAAGCGCAGTGTAGGGCGGCCCTCTAGTAGATAGAGTGACGAGCTGGTAAGAAATGTAGGAAGTCGATGGATGCAGTTAGCCAACCATGCCATAAAAAATGGTACAAATAGCCATTTTTGACCATCCTTTATGGCATGGCATTCCTTGTAGGAGGGCTATGTTCAGTAGGAGATTTATGATGGAGATGGTACGCAGCCAACGAAAAGAAATAGGCGGAGCGCTGCACACATTTCGAGTTGTGCCGAAATTTGCCAACTTTTTGTAAGAACACGAACTTGCGTATTTATATGCATCTAAAATCGTTTGCATTGTACATCTATGTACGTCCAGCGTCGAACGTTTTATGGGCTGTTCAAAAAAGGAACAGGAAACATAGTGTGTAATTGCGTGTCAAGCATAGTTTCAGCGTCACTTGAAATGTACGCAACGCTCTGTCTATATTTCTTTGTTGGTTTGAGATAGTATATGATTGAATTATTTTAAAATACAAAGCGCTTCGTATTATCATTAGATCTAGTTAAAATATATGAATTTGGCATAAATGTGAAAGTAAACTCAGGCTAATAAAAATCATTTAATTAACACATTATATACTAAGCAAATACAGGACAAACTCCTTTTTTAAAGTCGGTTAAATGATATTTTAATAAAATAATATCTAGGCTTAGAAAGTCGAAAGTTAATGTAATTATTAGTTTATATAAATTATTGATTTGTGGTAATTGGCTTTTATATAATCATTAAAATCATTAGTTATTAGTAATTAACTGACAAACATTTTCTATTAACATTCTATCTAGTTTAGCTATTACTGCTACTTATTTCTGTACACCTTGTGATAATTAAAAGAATAAGTAAATATAACAACAAACAGTTATATTCTGTGATCGGCAAAATTGCGGTTATATTGATTTGGTTCTAGGTAATATCCTAGGTAAATTATCGGCTTTGTGTATGGCAATACTGCGTGTTGATGGATATGACGTAGTATTATTTATGGAGTTGACGTAGACACCTTGTCAATGTCTTTGGTCAGCTGTCAGTTGTCACTTGCATCTAAAGTCATCGCTTATCATATATCTTAGATAACTTAGATTTTCTTTTGTTTTCCTTTGTAAACAGCTTAAATTTAATTTAACCGTGCTATGAGTGTGTTTGAAAATACTATATAGTGTGCTAATAACAATTACTTATGACAAAAACTGGCCAACAATCCAGTATATATAACTATTGGTACAAATTAGTGTTATTTTGTTGCAGGGGACGCTATTATATTTTCCGGTATGCAGGGTAAGTTAGTGATTAAATCTTAATCAATACATTAAACATCAGACCAAAAACTGAAAAAATTCTAAAGTAAAAACAGAAATTGTAATTCTCGGTGTCTATTTTTTTTGGACATTCTTATACTTTTGTAATGTTATTTTGTTATTTATTTATAAATGTATATAAGCGTGTAATGTATAACTATTCAAATTATATTTATTTTATTTTGTATCTTTCTTTGTTAGTTAATTTTTTAAATATTCATTTTTTTTTATTTATAGGGAGCATTTTTTTTATAGAATAAGGGTGACAAACGAGCTCACAGTCCACCTGATGGTAAGTGGTTGCCGAGGCCCGTAGATATCTATATCTATCCTTGATTAGGAATCAAAATGCAGATGTGTTGTCACCCGTAAAGACTAAGATGGAATGCTTAGTTTTTAGTAAAAAGGGTCTCCGGTTCTCTACACTCACCATACGAAACACAGCAGTTTTAAGCTGCTGTGTTTTGTATGGTATTTTAATTACAAGTAAAGCAACCCTAATTTGCTTAACTAATATAAGTATTTTTTGAGTTTTGTGGCTTATGTAAAGCATGTAACCTAGTTTCTTATTTTTTGTTATAGTCTGTTTTGTTATAAAAATGAAATCTATTACAAAAAATAATAATAATAAGCCAGGTTATTATTTTACAAATTTAAACAGTGTTTCCAATGGCAGCCTTGCATTGAAAAATGTAGATTATTGCAGTCCCTTATTAGATGAAATGAAAAAATAGTAAGACATGACGTCTATGAAAGCAAGTGGCTCAGGATCATGCTTTGTGGCAGTCTGGGAAAGACCTTAAAATTTTCACTCAATTGTACTTAAACTTAAACTTAAAAGATATTAGAACATAAAAGAAACTTGTTAGTGAGAAAGTTAATGCAATGAACATAGGATACCTTAATTATTTTAATATGGGGGGAAAAGCCATTCATTTTCTATATCTCAGTAAATAATGACATTGAGTTGCACAAAATCATACTTTGTAAACTATCTTTCCTGGGTGAATTTATGAGTGTATTTAAAAATTATTAAACAACCCGAATGGTTATAAATTATAATATTTCATTGACAGTAACGTCATATTATTTATTACTAATTAAATTTTTTTCATCAACATGAAAAATGTATCTAAAAATAGTAGCTAAATATTACATTTGTATAAAATTGGAAAGGAACAAATGTCATACAATTTTATATGTTGAAATCATCTTATTCCATAATTTTTTTTAAGGAGACACAGATGACATCCCTGGTATTGGTCAATATGATGACTTTCATACTATCGACTGGCAGCGTGATATTGCTAGGGACCGTATGCGGCACAGATACATTGTTAAAAAGAGACAAGATTCGCTTTGGGATCTTATAAAAGTAAGTTTATAATTTTTTCTTATTTCCATATTGCTTTAAAATATTCTAACATTATTAGATTTCTTTTAATGTACTTACAACTAATATTACATTAACTATTATTGATATAGGCAATATTTGTTATGATGTCTTTTTAATATACATATTTCCTATATTATTATATATAATGGATCGGTTCGACTGGGAAAGGACCTCACTCTCACATAATACCAGCGTAAAATAGCAGTTTAACACTGCTGTGTTTCGTATGGTGAGTGTAGAAAACCGGAGACCCTTTTTACTGGAAAAGAGGCATTCTGTCTTAGTCCTCACGGGTGACAATGCATCTACATTTTGATTCTTTATTGAGGATAAATGTAGATGTTAATGGGTCACAGCAACCACTTACCATCAGGTGGACTGTGTGTTTGTCTCCCTATCCTATAAAAATATAATATATGTATATCAGTACACAGGATAGAAGATGGTTTCACAATGTAATATTTAATTTAACCAAAATTTATATTATTTTACTTATTGTAATGTATTTTTATATTTTTAGGGTGCACATGATGCATGGTCAGGATGGGTCTGTGTTCTACTAGTTGGAGTGTGTACAGGAGTTGTAGCGGGTGTTATTGATATAGGAGCATCTTGGATGACTGATCTTAAGTTTGGCATATGCTCTCAGGCCTTTTGGTTCAATAGGGAACAATGTTGCTGGTCAAGTGATGAAACCACATTTGACCAGGGTAACTGCTCTCAGGTATGTATTTGAATTGATTATAGTCAATTGCAATTATTACAATAGCTTAAGGATGGATTAAGCAATACATTGCTATAAGTTTCTTTGTTTTGTTTTATAATTCTAAGCAAGCTAATAGTTCCTGAAATAAATGCTAGTCGTTGCCAATGTTAAAATCCACAAGAACATGGATATCATCATCATTATTAATGTGATTTTTAATCACATCTGAATATAATTGTAACTAATCTAATTCAAATGGTCTATTTTACTTCCAATTTGGTTTTGCTGAATATAGTGTTAATTTTGGAAAAAAATTGCTTATTTTGAACATTAAATGTGACTTGATTGTAGTAGGACCGTTTTTGCCTAGGAATCAGGACTTCCTACCCAGATGGTCCAATATAGTTTATACATATGTCTCAACATATGTTTCGAAATTATTAGATGAAGTGACTATCATTTTGATGTGAACAAAATTAGCAGACAAGCCTGCTGGACATACAAGAAGTTGATGTATGCAGGTCATAAGTTGATGTTGGGACTGTTTTGTTGAATTCATTGAGGGTAGTCTATGTTCAGCATTATGACTACACACAATATCTAATATGTTCAGAATATAGAATAAAACACAGAGGTTGATGTTGTTATGCATTAAGCTTGGTAGCATGACAAAAGACAAACTGCCATAAGTGAATATTAAATTACGTACATAAATTTACTTTATTAATTAACAAAGTAAACAAGTATCCCCAAATAGAATAACAATAAATGTTTGAATATAACATACCTTCCCCATTAGTAAATAACCTTAACAATATAATTACTTAAACAAGATAACTTTTGAAATCAATCATGTCTAATATTAAATACTTATTAATACACATACACATATACAAACTTGAGATAAATATGGATTTTCTCCATTAACATTTGATCTTTCATATATTTCTTTTAGAATGTAAACTTGACTTATGATTTATCTTTCTACTTGTTAAAAGTGTTGTCTCTGCTGTTGATGGTATTCCTAACTTCTCTGCCCTTTTATTAGAGTCTGAAATCTCAATTATTATGTGAAAGTCTTGACTACTTTCTTGATTTTCTTCATTGTTGACATTATCTGAACTATCAAGATATACACTCTCTACTGAATCAGCAGCTCTAATCATTCTTTCTCCCTTCTGCATTTCAGAATCCTCACAATTAATATAAGGCACTTTTTTAATTGACTGATCAATATGTCGATTGATTATTGTACCATTATTGGTCCTGATCTCATAATTTGATGGTCCATTTTGTTAATTACTTTCCTAGAAGCCATCTTGGGCCAGTACTGCTGTAATTGCAGTACATAATCTGCTGACATACATTAGTTTTCCTTTGATTGTTATTGCTAATTTGTGTTTCAGTTTTTTCATTTTTTGCTGAATCTGGATGTATAGTATCCAAAAGTGTATGTAAACATATCTTTATTAGTAGTGTTATTGGTTGTAGTGCATGGTGTACTTTTAAGACCAAGCAAAACATTTGGTATTTTAGTGTCCCATGCTAGATCTTTCATTTTGCACAGTTTGATGCAGTTTGATAAGTTTCCGTTGTGTTGCCTTGAATCATACGAACATCTCGCCTTGCACTTTCGGTTGGTAACATCGCAGCAACTACATCTTGATAACGCAAATTGTATTCCAGTACCGTCACAAATACTGCATATCAATATATCACGTAACATACTTTCTAAATCAGTGAAGTTACACCAATAACTTAGTTTCGTAAATGAACAACGTATTCTGAAACACCTTCATAACGATTTTGATTGCAACTGTATAAAATTTATGACACTGTAATCTCGTGAACAACACACTGAAAAAAATTGCTCTTTTAGAAGAATTTAATATGACGCCGTTAGCCTCGAAAGAAAATTTTAAGGGAGCTACAAATTAGTAGTAACGTGTTGAAAATATGTTACTACTAATTTGATATGATAGAAAAAATCACAAAGATACCTCTAAAAATATCTAACAATACAAGTAATCATAAATGTAAACATATTAACATATGAGTATTTTTATTTTTTAGCCCAATCAATAGCTTTTTAAAAATCGCATATTCCTATTTATGAGCCTAAATACCTACGCTTGTGTACCGATAGTGCCGGCCGAGTCCTAATGATATATAGAAATTGTGTAAATGTGTGCATATGTCATTTGAGGTCACTTAGCTCTAGTAACCCTCTTAAACGGTCTAAATAACTGTCCCAACTATCTGTTTGTGGATTGTATTCATCAAATTTCACTGATTTTATGTCCATTTTTAATACTTCATCACCCGTCGCCATATGTTCAGAAGAATAAAACGCAGAGGTTGAATATTGGTTACATATTAAGTTTTGTAACATGACAAAAGACAAACTGTCATAAGTGAATATTAAATTACATACATTGAATTTACTTGATTAATTAACAAATTGAACAAGTGCCCTCAAATAAAATAACAATTAATCTTTGAATATGACAATATCCATTTTACAAAAGCAAGCAGTATAGGCAATCTATAACTTGGGTCTCACTCGCTTGCTAGAGCTTTTTTTATAGGATAAGGGTGACAAACGAGCAAACAGTCCAGCTGATGGTAAGTGGTTGCTGTGGCTCATCACGTTTACGTTTATTCTCGATTACAAATCAAAATGCAGATGCGTTGTCACCCATTAGGACTAAGATGGAATGCCTCTTTTTCAGTAAAAAGGGTCTCCGGTTCTCTACACTCACAATACGAAACACAGCAGCGATAAGCTGCCATTTCACGCTTGTATTCTGTGAGATTGTGGTCCTTCCCCGGTAGTGCCGACCCATACGTCCTACAACTACTACCACGTGGAGTAGATTTTTTTAATAAAAAAATTAATTACAGTAAAGTCTTTAAAAACATTGCTTATTATATAAATTGTGACATGGCATTTAAAAACCACAAGGTGGGATTGTAGTGAAGCACTGTATAAGACAAGTTAAAAAAAATAGATCCCGGTTTAGTGCCCTATTTTCTCTGAGAAGGTCTTGCAAATAGATGCATATAGATGTAGATTTTGACATTCATGAGGGCTTTAAAGGAGCCTAAATTTTGACCTTGTCTTTGAGACATCAGATTTCATCAATCTATTTTTATTGTTGCGTCTGTAAATTTATATTGTTTAATGTTTGTGGTTATTAAAATTCAGTAAGAATTTTCCGCTATCCTTATTACATTAAGTGACTGTTGCAGTGGCTCACATGGCCTCAAGTGTTCGGCGAATCTCGCGAAGGAGCCGGAGCCTATATTATCAGCTACCTGTTCTACATAGTGTGGGCGCTTCTTTTTGCAGCCCTGTCGGCTTCGCTCGTCCGCATGTTCGCGCCATATGCTTGTGGTTCTGGTGCGTATATTCTACAAAGTTTTTAAAAAATCCCGAAAAATATGTTGTTGAGCTAGTCTATCTACTAATGTAAAAGTTAGAGTTACTGCCTATATATACGTCCTACTCCTGGGCAGGGGCCTCCTATCGTATTTGATGGGTTTTAGGGCACGCAAAGAAGGAAGGACTTCATGTGTCGTCGAAGTATTTTTTTCCTTCTCCAGCATTCATATTTCCTCACGGTGTACTCACTGAGTATGTGATAAATCAAGCACTTAAAATTGTCATTCGCAATTACATTTTGGGTTTTTCGGGTACTGTATTCTTACGGTAAATGCTTATCCCCAGAACTGCTACATTATATATATCAGTACTCAACTCTACAGGTATGACTGAGTGCCGTATTGTCTAACTGATCTAAATAATTATGATCATTAATGTTTAACGACTTATTGGTCCTTTAGTGCGATTTTTTAACTTTTGTAGGAATCAGTTCGCAGTGGGTCACACTGCATCTCTACATACATTGTTTTTCATTGTCATATTGTATATGAATACTTATGATTTTAAATATGTGATATGAAGATACAGATTAAGTATATAATAAATTCCTTAACCAGATGAGTAACCTGATAAGTGAGTGAGAACACATGTTGAAACAATGATCCCAATTTCTAAAGGAACGTTTAATTAATCCCAGATTTTTGTACTGTTCCTTATAAAAACAGATCCATTTTAATTGAGATGCGTATTTAGCTTTTTAGCTTAAGATGCTTTTATTGAACTTATTTGCTGTCAGCTTATTCATTGTGGTATAGAAGAACCCATTTCCTGTTATATTTACAAGTCAAAAAACAAAATATAGGTTAATTTTTGGGCTTATCCCCTCATTTGAACAAGTTTTCTTTGAAATATTTTAGGTATACCAGAAATAAAGACAATCCTAAGTGGATTTATTATCCGTGGCTACCTGGGCAAATGGACACTCATCGTCAAGGTTGTGGGGCTGATTCTGTCTGTATCATCAGGATTATCCTTAGGAAAAGAAGGCCCTATGGTTCACATTGCAAGTTGTTTAGGCAAGTATTACAATTTAATACAATTTTAAGCAAATTTCAACATAAAACTGTAATTTAATAAAAATGTTTATTGTTTTAATTTCCTTTTAATAGCAAGCAAATTATTTCAGGTAACATTCTTTCATATCTCTTCCCGAAGTATGGACGTAATGAGGCGAAAAAGCGTGAAATTCTGTCTGCTGCCGCTGCTGCTGGTGTGTCAGTTGCTTTTGGTGCGCCTATTGGTGGGGTGTTGTTCAGTCTCGAAGAGGTTCTTATTTTTTCGTATTATTTCTGTAGCAATAGTAATTAAAATTAGTATATGATTACTTCTTTTTTTTCGATTTTTTTTTTATTAATACTTCAAGGATTGGACCATATAGAATTAGAAAAAAATTCCACCCCTAAGGGTAGCAAATGAATAACTTATTTTTTAGCAGTTTGAGTTTTTATTCAAACAGTTGTTTTTTACTTTTTATGGTCTAAAAATAATTGTTCCGGTTCTGGATGTTTATCCTTGTAAAATTTATTTATGTAAAATGCCTCCACGATGTAGAAGAAAAGCCTCGTGTGGGGATAACGCCTTTTTAGAAAAATAAATCTTAGGAGACGAGAGGGCAATTTTAAGCAGTGGAATTATCTGCCGACTTCCAAATAGGAGACGGTACTCAATTCGACTGTATGTTTTTTATGTGTGTTACCTCATAACTTTTTACTGGGTGAACCGATTTCAATGATTCTTTTTTTGTTTGAAAGCTGGTACTTCCCGTGTGGTCCCATAGAAATTGATCAAGGTCAGACCAATAGTTTTTAAGTTATTCTTAATAACTTATACTGAAGTCGGCTGTACAAAATTTTTAATTTTTAATTATTTTTGTATTTTTTTTTATAGGTGAGGGGGCAAATGAGCATGCGGCTCACCTGATGGTAAGTGACTACCGCCGCTCATTAACAACTGCAACACCAGAGGAATTGCAGATGCGTTGCCGACCTTTTAAAAAGGGGTAGGCTCTTTTCTTGAAGGTCCCTAAGTCGTATCGTTCGAAAAAATCGCTGATGGTAATCGATTCCACAAGGAAGTTGTGCGAAGAAGAAAACTTCTTCTAAATCGCATAGTAGTGGACCGCCAATCATCCAGATGATATGGATGGTATCGTGAGTTTTGTCGCGATGTGCGATGGTGAAATTTAGCGACTGGAATTAGTCCGAACCATTCCTCAGAGCACTCCCCGTGGTAGATGCGACAAAATACACAAAGAGATGCAACATCTCTATGCAGTGCCAGTGAGTCAAGCCGATCGGAAAGAACTCGGTTGTCCACGATTCGAACCGCTCTGCGTTGGATGCGGCCAAGTGGAAGGAGCTCGCACTGGGGAGCCCCTGCCCAGAGATCGGACAGTACATGTGGGGCCGAACCTGCGCCTAGTAAAGTTGCAGGCGGTGTGCCGTCATGAAACACTGTCCCGCTCTGCTGAGCACGCCTAGCTTTTTAGAGGCCAATTTGGCTTTCTCTTCCAAGTAACCACGAAACTGCACATCACTCGATATGTCCACACTGAGGATTTTAAATATTTGATAAGAGATGTTTAAATAATAAACATTGATAATATAATGCATGAAGATGTACTCGTACTTCGTAATTCAGTTATATTCATTATTAATAAGTATAGTTCTTGATAACAAAATGATAATTTATTGCTATTTAACATCTCTGAATTATTTCTTAAGTAAATGAAATTAAATAAAAATATTCACTACTTTTTTCCCAGGTGTCCTACTATTTCCCACTAAAGACCTTGTGGCGATCCTTCTTCTGTGCATTGATAGCAGCTTTCATTCTACGCTCAATAAATCCCTTTGGAAATGAGCACTCAGTGCTTTTCTTTGTTGAGTACAACAAGCCGTGGATATTTTTCGAGCTGATTCCATTTGTTGGACTGGGAATAATTGGGGTAAGATCATAAGTAAATTTTACGACAGCATTTGTTATTTTTTACATTGACTTATTTTATGTTACACACTTTTTAGGGCTGCATAGCGACCATATTTATAAAAGCAAACATCTACTGGTGTCGCTACCGTAAATACTCAAAGCTCGGCCAGTACCCAGTAACTGAGGTTCTAGTGGTTACACTAGTGACTGCAGTTATTGCATATCCTAACCCGTACACTCGTATGAATACCAGCCAGCTAATTTATTTGCTATTCAACCAGTGCGGGATTTCGAATTCTGATCCTTTGTGGTGAGTGTTTTAATACTTATTTAGGCCAATATTCTTAGATATTTATGTAAAACTAGCTGTTCCCCGCGACTTCGCCCGCGTTTAATTTAGGGTTTTAATTTTTTTGCGCGGAACCATAATTATTTTTCTAAAATAAAAGTAGCCTAAGTTACTTCTTATAACGTCAGCTATCTGCCAGTGAAAGTCCCGTCAAAATCGGTCCAGCCACTTCGAAGATTAGCCGGAACAAACAGACAGACGGACAGACAGACAGACAAAAATAATAAAAATTGTGTTTTTGTTTTAAGTACCGTATCCACTTTCATATGTATTTAGTAAAAAAGCTGTTATTTTGACATTATAAACAGACACTTCAATTTTATTTATTTGTATAGATACTGTCTGTACTCCCATTGAGACTCCCACTGTGACCGAACTGACCGGTTTGGAGGATATTATTATTATTTGTTTTATAAAATTCATTAAAGGACTTGTTTTGGTGCTGACGAACTATTTCAGTGATTACAACCGCAATTTTACGGATGTGAATTCGGCGATTGAGAAGGCTGCTGCCGGTCCTGGTGTCTACAAAGCCATCTGGTTGTTATTCCTCGCTTTAGTCCTTAAGCTTGTCATGACTATATTCACTTTTGGCATTAAAGTGCCGTGCGGATTGTTCATACCCAGCCTTGCACTTGGAGCTATCGCAGGTCGAATTGTTGGCATTGGTAAGTTTTGACATTCATATTTAAATCCATGAATTTTGCTTTGTAATGTATATTATATATGGAGTTTGTTGCCAGCGTTTTTTTTTAAAACTATTTCAAGCTAGTCCTTGACTGCTATCCCACTTGACGGTATCATCACGATGTAGCTTCAGTTTTTAGATTTTATTAATTATTACAATATGATTTTTGTACGTGGTAGAGCCATGCTGCAGCTATATTACTGGTATAGTTGTAGCACGAATGGGTCGGCTCGACCGGGGAAGGACCACGCTCTTACAGAATAGCAGCGTAAAACAGCAGCTTAACGCTGCTGTGTTTCGTATTGTGAGCGTAGAGAATCGGGGACCCCTTTTTACTGGAAATGAGGCATTCCATCTTAGTCCTCACGGGTGACAACGCATCTGCATTTTGATTCGTATTCGAAGATAGATGTAGATGTCTATGGGCCACAGCAACCACTTACCATCAGGTGGACTGTGTCCTCGTTTGTCACCCTTATCATATAAAAAAAATCTGTTTAAAATAAGTCCGAATAGGCATTTTAATGCTTGACATTTAGGGTCTCATCACTAAGGTGGAATTATGTAATGAATATTTTATGAAAATTTCCATTGATATTATTTTATGTTGATATTAAAAGCAAAATAATTATAATTTTAGGTGTGGAGCAATTGGCATATAATTATCCAAAAATTTGGCTTTTCTCTGGGGAATGTTCAACTGGCGACGATTGTATAACACCAGGGTTGTATGCTATGGTTGGGGCAGCAGCTGTGCTCGGTGGTGTTACTAGAATGACAGGTAATACATACAAACTTTAAGAAAATGATACAATAATAGTAAAATTATTTTTAATAAAAATATCGAATTATGAATCTATTCTGATTTGATGCATTCTTGACATTAAAGTATGAATTTATTTCAGTGTCTTTGGTGGTGATAATGTTTGAATTGACCGGCGGAGTTCGGTACATTGTGCCATTAATGGCGGCGGCTATGGCGTCTAAATGGGTGGGAGATGCATTGGGCAGGCAGGGTATTTATGATGCTCATATTGCTCTCAATGGGTATCCGTTCCTCGATAGCAAAGATGAGTTCCAACACACTTCACTTGCAGCAGATGTGATGCAGCCAAAGTAAGCTACTTTTACTTTTTTTAATTACCGTTGAGTAACTGGTAAGACATATCTCTATTTTACCACGTTTTTATTAAGTCACTTTCTTGTTTGTCTGTCGTTGTGGGTGGAATTTAGTAATTTATTTTAAACTAACTACTCGATGAGCTGGAAACTTGAAATTTTGCTCAAATTCGGATGACGATGCACATGCAAATGACAATGATAAAAAAAACGTGGTAAAATTACTTTTTTAAATTTCATTTGTTTTAAATACTTTAAGTGCAAAAACATGTAAGCACATTTTGATGGTTGCCAAGTTTTGTTTAATGACTTTCTTGGTTCTTTGTTGTGTTTTTTTACTATTCCAAGCCAGCGCTTGACTACTATCATATGTGTAAATAAATATTAATAGTGGGTCAACTCCTTTGTTATACTGCAAAATACCTGCAAGGTTGTCTCGACGTCAAGTCGCTCAAAATATGCAAGGGTTGTCACAAAAGATTTACATTTTTATCAGTATTTCTCCTGATAATATATTTTTCTATACAAAGATACAAACTAATTACTACTTTATAAAACTAGTTGCGTTCCGCAGCTTCACCTGATTCGTCGTAATGGAAAGAAATGCTTGTGCTGGTAGGTTCCTACCTAATTTTACTATATCTTAGTACCCATATAGCAGTATGTCAGGTTTCTGCTTAAAATATTTGATAGGGGGTTGAACAGAATAAATAAAACAGATTAAAATTATATGTTGGTTCTGTTTATTCAAGCGCCACGTTACAGATGTGCAACCGACAAATATGTATGACATTTTTTTTATTGTTTTTTGTTGAATTTAATGATACAATGAATTCTCACATGGTTATTACAATTCAATTTTACTTAAAGCGTCTTACAATCTTTCCCAATATTTCAAAATAATATCAAGTAATATCATGTTGCTGAGTGAACATCAAATGCGTGCAACTGATTCAGTGTACGTGACACTCCTAAACGGGCGTACCGGTACGCAAGCGAAGCTGACCGGTACTACCGCAGACGTCGCGGGCAGGAGGGGGACTCCGCTCGTTGCTCCGTCTAGTCGCCGAGTTGACTCACTATTATATTAGTATTTATTACACATATGCTACTTTCTGACGGTAAGTGGTGATGCAGCCGAAGATGGTGAAACGCACTGATTTAACGAAAGCCTATTCACTCTTGCTTTGATATATGTTATAGCCACTACCAATGATTCTTGCGACTTTATCGCATTTGTTCTTATTGCTATAAAACCGCTAGAAGTATTTACTTATGACATGAGGTTTCCTGTGTTAATAGCAATAGTTAAATCATTTAAATATATGGTCGATCTATTATTGTTATATAATCAATCTTTCTTTGCTATATATATATGTGTGTGTATTTTATAAAAATCGCCACGCTTTGCGTTTGCATCATGAAACTGTTTGCGTTTTAGATACACTTGGCACACGTATCGTGGTAGAGCCATGCTGCAGCTATATTATTAGTATTGTTGTAGCACAATGGGTCGGTTCGACCGGGGAAGGTCCACGCTCTCACAGAATACCAGCATAAAATAAATTAATATTGCTGTGTTTCTTATCTTGAGTGTAGAGAACCGGAGACCCTTTTCACTGGAAAAGTGTTACATCGTACAAAGTTGTTCTTTGTTGTACAGCTGGTATTTTATATTTATCCACATTAATTTTACTTAAAATTGTACATATAAGGGTTATAATAAAGCTTTGCCAGTTATATATCTTACATTTAACTTTAACTGTAGGCTGTAACTTTAAACTTTCTCTTTTATGCTGGAACTTTTCTCTTTCTCTTTGCCAATCGTGACGATTAAGCAAACCACACTTACAACAGAAGACACCCATGTGCAGAGCTGGTCCTTTATGGGATACCAAACGTTGTTCGGGACCAAAAGATTGTTGAAAACCTATTTTTGAAATTTGTTGTAGGCCAAATAACATCTTTAAGTGATGAAATCAATTCATGTATTTGATCCACTTCTTGAAGCATACATTCTGTGGCAAATTTGCCAGTTATTTCGATATGATTAGTTTTATTACAACAATTGATATGATTAAAATAAGTATATTTTGTATAACTTACAATTTTGCATTTTAGAAATTGTTATTGTACTTTAAAGTTTTTAGTGATACAGTGTCTAAAATTATTTATATTTATATTCAATATTATCATATTTTTTTCATTCAAATGCGAATTTTCTATATGATGTCTATCTAATCAATAGTTGACTTAACAGTTTCACTTATATTGTTAATCATTATTTCAGCCTATCAACAGTTAACTGCTGGATATAGGCCTCCCCCATATGTCGTCTCATAGGGGTGCCTCATATTTGCTATAGGTGCCACTTGGCATGCAGTTTGGCAATCCCAGTTTTGGTTTAATTGAACCGAAAGATGTCTCTAGGCCGCGGTTTTTTTATCCACAGTTGTTATCAAGATAAAATTAATATATATTATTAAATGAATGAATTAGCCATTCATTCATTTAACTATAACAGACCATCAAAAAACTACGGGAATCACTTCTTTTTTACTACTATCATTATTGACCTTTGCCATCTGGAAGATACTGCTGCCCGTCTTCTATTTCAGTTTCATTCTGTCTGTGGATGATATGGGGAAGTGTATTCTCTTACGGTGCCACCTAAACGACAAGTGAATTAGTACAGCCATGTGAAGACTAGACATGTAAAATGACATCTCTGTTTAATATTGCCAGCGCCCATCTAAATAAGATTTCATTCTATTCCACTTTGCTTGTACTTGAGCATCTCTCTCTGCAGATGTTAGGTTAGCTCGCATATGCGTATTTTACACATCAATTCTTTGCAATTGACGTGGTGTTAGTGATTTAGCAATAATCGAATAAATTGTCTCATGTGAAAACTTTACCATTTGCGTTGCGAAAACTGCGATGGCATAACTTGTAATATTCATTCAAAATCATACACTTATAGTCAACGTGCTATTGATGTTTATTGTATTGTTGTTTAGTTATAAGTATGCGAAAAAGGGCACCCTAAATATATTTTCTTTAATTTCAGACGTAACGAGACGTTGGCTGTAATCACTCAAGATTCAATGACAGTAGATGACGTGGAGACTCTCCTAAAAGAAACAGAGCATAATGGATACCCAGTGGTGGTGTCTAAAGAGTCGCAATATCTAGTCGGATTTGTGTTACGCAGGGATCTCAACTTGGCGATTGGTTAGTTTCACTGAGTATTCTATGAGAATTGTACGAGTCGTATGAGGTAGTATTGTATGAGTCATCATCATCATTTCCGTACAAATCAATATTCTCGAAAGTTTTCCTTCAGTACAAATCAATATTCTCGAAACTCGAGCATAAACTATATCTCATTTTAATTATTGTGTCGATGCTAAACATGGCCATAAGTGCTTAGCGGCGCAGTGGCTAAGAGTTTCGCTATGATTTTGTAGACCACGGGTTCACAGCTGAAACAAAACGTGTTTAGATGACCTACAAATAATTACAGATCTTATAAATTAATTAGCTTATATCCTCGTTATAAAATAAAATGTTGTGTCTTCCCTAGTCTGACGAGTAGCAAACACGTTATGAAAAGCATTTAGCCGTGGACAGGAATTGCAATCCCGATAAATCACATTTTGCTAAACACCTCTTGGACACTGGGCACAACCTAGCCATTGATCACTCCTTTAAGGTACAAATCCGTAGCCGACTGCAGGCAACAGCAGCAGGCGACGTGTCGTCGCGACACTACTGGTTTCTATGTAGGTCTATGCAACACCTTCCGTAGCTAGCGTCACGTCGTTTGCCGTTACGGGCCGAGCGGCAGACGACACGTTGAATTTGGAATTCTTAACCAAAGATGAGCTATTTCAGATCAAATGGTCAGTACGACAAAACGCTAATTTCATATGTAAGGATCTAATATTTAAACAGTGTGATAAGAGATAATATATGAAAAAAAAAATCGGTTGTCTGTAAAGTAGTTTTACTGACGATAATTGAACGTGACATCGCCGATTGTGCCTCTTTGTCGCTCGTTCCGCGTTCTCGCTTGCACTTCAAGCCTTAAATGGAACGCATCAGAGCGAGGTAACGCCGCATGAGTCATGTTTTTCGTGCGTCCAGCCAGCTTCATCGAATAAGAAGACGTTGTCACATCAAAATATAGGAAATGAGTTAAATAAAAGCGATAAGTACCTATTTTGTTGACATAAGCAGAGAACCCATAGAACATTCGGAAAATACTGGAACACGGGCTGCTGCCGCCTGGAGTCGGGTTCGGAATCATGACAGCAGCGACATGGCGCCACGACATGTCGCGGCGTGTAGAGGCGAAACGCGTATCGTGTTATGAACAGTGGTGTATCTTTCCTGGTGTGGTGGTGACGGGGATAGTGTGGGAGGACGGGAGGTGCTTTCTTCAAACTAGAGTAGACACATATTTTATTTTACTAAGCGGATATAAGCAAATTATTTTTAAGACCTTTAATAATATAATTATTTTCCGCAAAGTAATGCTTGATCAATTAATTATCTACAATTGATTGATCATGGTGTCAATCATTATCTCTATCAGCGTCAATGAGGAGTCACAGAACCTCTGTACGGAACGCGACCGCGGTACTTCCACCGCTGGGCTGCTCTTCTAAACCTTAGTCCCGCGAAACATCTACGATGTTTCGAGACCACGTCAAAACAAAGAAAAACACTTTGTTCAAGAACGGGAAGACATTTTGATAATCAAATCAGATCAGATTGAGTTTACTTTAGTTTGCGCATATAATAAAGTGATAATATTATTATATGCGCGAAAATCTAATTCTTGGTTTTGGTACTAAAATTCGGTCTTACACATAGGTTTATTTAAGCGTCTTTTAGTACCGAAATTGGTACTTTATAAGGCAGCGCATAAAATACGAACAAACAAACATGAATCTTATACATATTTTCGCAGCAAATGCACGCCGAACAATGGAGGGTATAACTGGCCAGTCCGTAGTGGTATTCGCCGGTATGGTTAGCCCACCTGCCGGGCCGCCACCTTACTTACCTTTAAACCGCATTCTGGATATGGCGCCAATCACCGTCACTGACCAGACTCCCATGGAGACTGTCGTTGATATGTTCCGTAAGCTTGGCTTGAGGCAAACACTCGTCACGCACAATGGGTATGTTTATTGATATATTACACGTTTGTATATTGAGCAAGCTGTATTGCACTCTCAACTGCACAATAAAACAGATATCTCAAAACAAAATATAAAGTAAACACCTTTTTGCCTTGACAACAAATATTTAATTAATATTTTATTTTCAGACGTTTACTAGGTGTGATCACTAAGAAGGATGTACTCCGACATGTGAAGCAAATGGATAATGAAGATCCTAATTCTGTTCTATTCAATTAACATATTTTAAAATATACATATGCGACACGAGGTATTGTCAGAATCTGTGACATATATTTCAGAAGTATCATCATTACATTCGCACTTGTGTTGAAAAAGTCTTTTGTCTTCTAAAACTTAAACCAATATACATGTATTTGTAACAATAAGATAACATTTCAAAATACCAAAACCTTACATTACACCTAGGTGTTTAGACTACTTTTCTGCCAACTTGTATGTCTGGTTAGATACCACATTCTTACCTACGCCAATAGCTGTGCTTGCACTGCATTAACCCGATCTGAAGAATGGCTGTGACGCATTACATCTTGGTCTGTAGAGGTGACAAACATTTGTAGCTTTCTTCGTTTGAAGTTGGCTGCAAGTGTCCTCAGTAACCACTTACAATTAGGTCCACTGAAGTTCGTTTGTCATTGCAGTTCAAAGTTCAGTAAAAATATCTTGCAAACTGAGTTGACCGATTACCTGGCGAGTTCCCAGTGTGTACTTATAAGTACAATAAGTGACACTGCAGTATATAATAACTCTGTTTAATTGTGATGTTTCAATTTTGCATGTTAATAACTAAGTTTCTGTTGCTAGTTAAGGTGTAAAAGGTAAATGTCAATGTCAGTCGACTATTTTATTCAGGTGCATATAAATTAATTCACATAAATAATAAATGATGTAATATGTATATTATTATTCTGTCAGAAAATATTTTTTCAGTGTGAGAAATCGCAACCTTTTTATGAATGTTAATTTTTATTTATTGGAAAAAAATATTTTAACTTAATATTCAGTATTCATTAATTCTTTCTATAATATAATAAAGATCTACACCAGTTCACGTTCTGCGAATTAGGAGTTTTAACATCTGATTTTAACGTGAAAACGTAAGATAGTATTCTCAACATAATAAAACTTTACAAATAGTTCTATTTTATATAAAGAGTATTGACAATTTTAACCTTACAATAATAAACTTTAAGAATATAGTTTGGAAAATTTCTATGTTCATAGTTGTTCACATCACATCTACATAAATACTACAAATACTTTTATATGTTTAAACAAAATATTATTTATTCACAGTAAATTCTACATTTATTTAAGATTTTAAGTTTGTTGATTTTTGAACTTTTTAAGTGTTTCATAAATTATAAAAATATTATTTATTTCTAATATTATAGGTTTTCTATAAGCAAGCTTTGATCACAATTAGTGCAATATAATGCTGATCCTTTCTTTCATTTATTTTAATTTTACTTGACTTCTTTTTCGCTTCAAGGCATAGTTAGTCCAGCAAAACGAGATAATGAATGTAAACAAACTGTTTTAATCAATATTAATATTAATCAAACTCAAATTAAGAGTCTTAAAATTTAAAAAATATTGATACAAAGTCTCCAATAGTGTTAAATAAACTGTATTTGTTATATTAAATATCAATCATGTTTATGACATGATGGATATTTAAAGCAGGAAAATAATGAAATAAAAAATTACAAACATTTAATTATAAAAACAACTGTAAAAAACAATACAGAAAAACACGTACATAAAACTGTTCTAAAGTTGCGCTGACGGTTTCTTGTACTATGTTTAATCTAACAACAGTGGGAATTACATGTTTACATTCTTTATCTCATCTTGTTAGCCTCATTAGTATCTAGATGATAATTAGCAGAGATGATTCGATTCAAGAATTAAGTTATTAAAAATATATTTTGTTACTAAGTTATATTTTTTTAAATCTCTGTATATCTGCTGTAGTTAAAATCATTTTATTTATATAATTTATAATGTATTCGATTTTTATGTCGTATTTGCGAAATCTTTTATCTGCGTCTTAATATTTTCATCATCAATGTTACAATAAGATTTCAAACACCAAAGTAATCTGTTCGTTATTGTTCAGTTTACATTAATGATAATATTTACACAACTTTAATAACGTTTTTAGTTTAATGATCATCAACAAATTTCAGTTTTAAGGAAAGTTATACAATTTGTCTTTTGTACATTCCATCATTAACACTAATAGAAAACTACATATACATATTATCTCAACATTTAGTCATGTGACAATCAAGTCAATTTTATAGTTTTCTATTAGCATTAAAGATTGTAGAATGTCATCTTAAATAGCCCCACTGGTACGTAAGATTTTAACTTGAAATTCAAAGACAATGTTTCCCTTTAACGACACTTCGGACAACAAAGTTACGTATTTTCTTGTTGTGTGGATGATTTTATTCTTACAATAAGACACATATATACACGGTTTATTTTTATTTTAAATCACCTACTACTTTTAGCCACTAATTATCAATTTTAATTATGTTGTTATGAATTCATGTTTGTAAATAATTTTTATAAAACCGTGCAACTTTGGAACCAATTCAGATGTTATCAATGTCCAAATCGCCTCAACACATTATGTAAATAAATAGTGAATAAGGATATTGTTTCATTATAATATAATCCTCTCATTTTATATAGTTTGTTAGTTCTTTTATGTTACAGCTGTATTCTTAGTATATAGGAACTAATCATTGTTTTTATTAATTTGGACTACTTATTGTATTATTTCCGTTTTCATTGTATTTTAAATTTCAATATTTTTTATAAGTTGGAATTTATTTATATCATGATTAAAAAATATAATTTAAGGACCCATTTATGTACAAGATATATATATATATGGTCAGACCAAGTTCTCTACGTAGGGGGTCCCGTATGAGAAACGTTGGTTGTACTGTACGTCTCGACCAATATTTGTCAGTAGCGTGATTCGTTACACGTACCTACTTAGGTGCGTTCTACTTTTATATCTCAAAGTAATTATGTGTATAATGTAAATAGCGCCCGTTATATGTATAATGGATATATAATATAATTTATTGTGAAGTAAAACAATTTACCAAAATGTTAACACGTGTTAATTTTAACTCAATAAGGGTCTACATTAGCATAGCAAGAAAGATGCACATTAGAAGGAACTTTAAATTGATAACTTGGTTAGTACAATTCAATCGCTCATTGATGGTCCTAAATTATTTATCATTAATTTAGCCGCTTACATATTTTTTTAATAAAATGTAAAGTCACGTTTATATTTTTAATAATGCATTAAAATTTTTAATTTCCTTACAAAAAGTGTTGTATAAAGGTTATATTAATAGATAAAAATTACGTCTTTCACGATGTCAAATAAAGTTAAGGTATACTGGTAGCTAAAAATAACTTTCGGTTGGTAATAATAATCATCGGCAGCATCTTATTATTGAAATAGAGAAAATGAGACTGGGATGTGGAATGTAGTAATTACTATCTTTTATATTACCGATTTTCACAATATTAAAAGCCAAACGCCTGTGGTTATTACACTAATGCCGGTTTCCAAATCATTCCACTGTCAGTCAGATGGCTGAAAAGTGAAATAATATTTAAGAAGAATTTGTGTGTACGCTCCTTTATAGTAGTGTATAAATTTTACAGTCAAACGTGTGACCAACGTTGAATATCCGTGAAATCCTGCAATCTCTAGCCAGATGAACCTTCACTATGCTAACATTTACATATTATGTTAATAAATGAAAGTGAAAATTGTGTAACAATTGTTTTAGAATTATTCTCCTCGAAACTTCACCACATCTAACATAAATATTAAATATATGTATGTATGTTATATATTATACAGGGTTACTTTGCAATATACGCCCAAAGGACTGGCGAACTCCCAAACAAATTTTAGCAGACATTTTTTTCTCACATCTACTAATGAAAAATAAGTAAAATATAGTATAAAATACTGAACAATTTTTTCTTCAGTTATACTACTGCAGGAAGTCAGGATTTAAAGATATTCTAGTTTGGAAAAAATTCACATCAGACTTAGGCTATAATAGGGGTGGGCAAAGGAAAAAATATATCGGTATATAGAATCGATATTTTTAAACAGTATCCCTATATATTGCATTAGCATAGAGTGAATCCTAAAATAACTCATTAGTATCTACATAATTGAGAAGAGTTTTGAACAAAATACACATCAGAGTAGACTGTATGGTAGACTACCTTTGCCTACCGTAATTGGCGATTCGTAACAACTACAACAAGCAACAGAGTAATTCTGTTCTGTGAAGTGTGAACTAGAGAGTTCAATACAGTGGAGTAGCGTGCCTTAGAGGGGCCCTGTATCAAAATGTGTCGGGGGGCCCAAATGAAGGGTAAAGATTTTTCACAAAAGGAACAAAAACTCGCATTAAATTAAAATAATTATATATCGATTATAAGTTATTACTTACAATTAATACTCCTAGGAACTAAGCTAGCCAAACAATTCAAACCAACATACTGTCCCATAGAAGTCCTTAGACTGTTTGCTTACACACGTTCGGGGCCTCTGTAGCCAGGGGCCCCCGTATCATTGATACGGCGGTAGCTACGCCCCTGGTTCAATATGATGATTTTTTTCCGGATTTGGATAGGCCACAGGCTTGATTAGAAGTTGTGTATCGCTAGCAACGCAATGTCGGGAATTTGCATTTGGAAAAATCCAAAATTAGGGGCTTTTTAGGTGCTAATTAGGTGCCAAGTTTAAAAATTAGGTGCTCTAAAATTTTCACCGCAACGAACTGTTGAAATTTGCGTTGCTAGCAAAACGTCTCGCTAGCAACGCAATGAAGTTATTAGATATACGATAAATATTAATAGCAAGGAATTAAGTGCTAATTAGGTGCTGCAAGTATACGCAATAACAAGGCGCCCCTAATAAAAATAAAGTCGTTATTCAGAACATAGCAGATGCAAAATTCAGATTTCCTGAAAATCAAAATAGAATCAAAATTGCTTTCAGAAAAGTCCAAATTAGGGGCTTTTTAGGTGCTAATTAAGTACCAAGTTTAAAAATTAGTTGCTCCAATATTTTCAACGCAACGAACCATTGAAATTTGCGTTGCTGGCAAAACGTATCGCTAGCAACGCTGATGACGTTACTAGATATACGATAA